TTATTTTTTGCTTGAACTCAGGGCCTTCATCTTGAGCCACTCCACCAGCCCTATTTTTGTGAAGGGTGTTTCAAGAGAGAGTCTCCCAAAGTATTTGCCTGGGCTGGCTTCAAACCTCAATCCTCCTGATCTCTGCTAGGATTACAGGCATGAGCCTTTAATACATTAGTCAAAGGAGGCAAGTTTCTTTGGTATGCATTCTTAACCAGTTAGAAAGTTTTTCAGAGGACAAGCCTCCCTCATTTACATGCATACACTTCTGGCCCTTGTAATCATGGGTTGGACCTAATTTGAACATTTTGAGTTGTTCACTTTCAGCCAAATTATCTAGTCCTGTAAAAAAATCAAACCTACCTGAGAATGGCTGCGTGGACTTTGCCTGAAAGTGAAAAGTTGCATAAAACCATTCAAAACCAAAACTTGAACTAAGCAGAATAAACAGTTCTGCCTAAGAATTACAACTGCTTTCCTCTGCCTTTAAGAGTAATGGGGGAAAAGGGAGGTGGCCCAAACAATGTATGCACATGTGAGCAAATGTAAAAGCAACAAAATTAAAATAAAGTATTAAAAGATTTAAAAAAAGAATAATCAGAATGGCGTTTCTTAGACCCTTAAATGTTTCCTAGGGCCCATTGAGTTAGTTTGGTTAATTTTGCTTCATTCACACAAAAAAGAAATCAAGTATATTATAAGTCTTTGGTTGTGAATATTCACAATGATTATTTTTAGTAATTATTAATGGAAAGTGGTCTAATTTTTTTTAAATAACACACGCACATGGAGAAAACATTACCTTGTGTTATATTAAAAATGTGTCTGTTGTAGAGATTCCTGCCTTCTAGCACCAGCCTAAAGAGCCCATAACAGAGGGATTTGAGATGGTGAGGCATTTACAAAAGATTTAGAGTCTGGAAAAATGTGTACATACAAGTGTAGTCCAATAATGTTGTAGGTTAGGTGTGAGTTCCTTTTTCTCAAATACAAAGTTTTACGAAAATAAGACATTTTAGGAGGATCAGCATGCTGTTTATGTCTTGTAAAACACCAAGATTGCTTTTCTTTATTTCCTGAGTTGCATCAAATGATAATGAGTTTCCTTATCACTTCATCAAAGATTTTACAGATTTAATATGTATACAAATATACATATTTATGACATATTTATGGCATATTTATACCCTTATTTATTTGAGATTACTTTATTAGAAGATACCTGCAGGCTATGAAAAAAAAAAAAACAACCAAAACACTATTTTTGTAAGCTTCCCATGTTGGGTGGTCATTAGAAAGCTTCCTGGTCTTTTTGAAGTCATTTTTAATATTCTGGCCTCTTACAATAAGCATTTTTCCCTCTGTGACATTAATTTCTTCCTTAAGGTTTTCACTTCAGTAATCTTCAGGCAAATAGGAAATACACATAATAATAAGGTCATTTAAATTTATAAAGCACTGATTCTTTTTTGAAGGTAGTCTTAGAATAAGGAAGCAATTCAAAACAGAACGTCAGCTCTGCAAACATGCATTCACTTAGCTACATTTCTGAGGCACATCCACCCTTACTACAGGCAAGATTTTCTCTCCCTGAAGGCAGCATATGCATAATAAAGATGGATAGATGTTGATAACTACATCTGTGTGTACATAGATTTAGGAGCAAAATGTTAGAGAACTATTTCAAACGTATCTTGGGTTGAAAAAAACAGCCATGGCAAATCTATTCATTCTAGTCTCCTAATCCACTGCTTCTTACCTTCTCTTCTTCAAGCCACCAATACTTCCTCCCTCATCTTCCTTTTCAGCCTTGCTTCCTATCTCCCTGAGAAAGAGGAATAATGAGAAGAGAACTTCCACAGACCACCTCAGCACCCCCACCCATCCAGTCACCTACCTGTAGCTATGCCTGTGTTCTCTGCCTGCCTTTCCTATGAAAGAAATGTTCCTAGCTCTGCATCCCTGCAATGGAGCATTAGATCCCATCACTTCCCTACTGAGAGAAGTGATTCTGCCACCTTCTTCTCTCTCCTGTAATCATTTCCATCCTCTCTTGGATCATCCCTTTTGAATGAACTGTAAACCACTTTGGCAGAAGCAACTACCAGTTCTCTCTGGGATTCTTAGAGTAGTAGCTACCTAACTGGTTTCTATTTGGTCCCAGCTTCCCTTCAAACTATTCTCAATACAGACAAGCAGAATGATTCTGTTAAAATCCAAGAAAACCAGGTCACCTCTCTGCTCAGTACCCTCCAGGGGCTTCACATTTACTGAGTATAAAAGTTAAAGTTCCTACAAAAACTCTATTTGTTTTTCCTTGCCCTCTCTCTCTTCTCTCTCTAACATAATATCCTTCTGTCCCTGACTCTCTTCCTGCACCAGCCATACTGGCTTCGTTATTTTTCTTGGAATATTCTGTATACTCCTACCACTTGTCCCAAATTTTCACATAGCTTGTTCTTTACTTTGGATCTTTCCTCAGATATCATCTTATCAATGAAGCCTTTTCTGCTCACACTTTAAATTGTAACTCCTGGACTGGGGGTATTGCTTAATAGTAGATGCTTGCCTAGCATGAAAGAGACTCTGAGTTCAATCCCCAGCACCTGGGGGAAGAGGTTACTCCTTCCCCACCTCCCCTGCTCTATTTTTCTCCATTATTCTCACCTCCATGTTGTCAAGTACTATATATATTTGTACTTGCTAATTGTTGCTTATAGTCTGTCTCCCCCAGTTCCCTACCCCAAATAAAATCTGTGAGTGGTTGGAATGTTTCACTCTTTTCTGCCTCCTTTCCATATTACTGGTATGTGCCTGAAACATAGTAAATACTCTATAAATATTTGTTGAAAGAATAAACCTATGTTTATGAGAGTGTAACTAGAAAATGACCTGGGAGTATAGTCATGAAGATTGAATTTTTTTTTTATCTATTTCACCAATTCTGTCTTGTAGATATTAGTTAAATACACTTTTAACTTCAATTGAGGCTCAATTTGCATTCCTCTTTCTAGGAATTGTATGAATCTCCTCTTGTACAGTTTAAGAGAAATATACTCTTAAAAAAAAAAAAAAATATGCATCTTAGGCTGGCAGAATGGCCTAAGCAGTAAGAGTGCCTGCCTAGCAAGCATGAAGCCCTGAATTCAAACTCCAGTGCCACCAAAAAAAAAAAAAAAAAAAAAAAAAATATGCATCTTAATACACTTTGCACTCTTGTGTTTTCAAAAGCTCATTATTAAAATCTTCTTAAATTTAACTTAGACAGTCAGAGAATTAGACTTATTTTTGTGGTCCCTATTCAAAGATGACCTGCTAAAAAAATCCCCTCCCCCATGCAATTTTAATTGTGTTATACAAATTTTGATGTATTCTGTTTTCATTACTATTTTAAAATATTTTTCTGTGGCTTCTCTTGCAACTTCTTTGATCTGTTGTCACTTACTTTCTAAATAGTGAGATGAATTTATGAATATATTTTATTGACTTCTAATTTAATTTCATTTTATGGTCAGAAACCATATTTTTATACTTTCAGTTCTTTGAAATTCTTTGAGACTGACTCTGGCCCAGTAGATGGTCTTTCCTGGTGAATGTTCCATGAGCACTTGAAAAACAAATTTGTATCTGGCTGTTGTGGGATAGAGTGTTCTATAATGTCAACTGGGCTACATTAGTTGGTAGTATTATTAATGTCATCTATATCTTTGTTGACTTCCATTCTACTTGTCCTATCAGTTAGTTTATCAAAGAGGGGTTGAAATCTTTATTATTGCCTGTATTCCTTTCCGTTGTATTAGTTCTTACTTCTTGTATTTTTGAAGCCCTATTAAGTGGTTACACACTTAGAATTGTTATATCTTCTTGATGATTGACCCTTTTGTCATTATGAAATGTCCCTGATTATATTCTTTGACTTAAAGTCTACTTTGTCTAATATAAATGTAGCCACTTCAGATTTCTTAATCATCAGTGCTTACGTAGCATATCTTTTTTTACCTTTTACTTTTAATCTATCGCTATCTTTATGTTAAAGTGTGTTTCTCATAGACAGTATACAGTTAGGTCTTGCTTTATTAGACATTCTGATATCTCTGCCTTTTAACTGGTGTGCTTAGACCATTTGTGGCTAATGTAACTATTGATATTTTAGGTTTGTCTACTATCTTGCTATTTGTTTTCTACTTGTCTCCTCTATTCTTCATTTTTCTC